TTACCCGGCATTCCCTTCCCTCCCGCTCGCCGCTATGATCTATTCCCCTAGCTGTTCTTTCATGCCTTCTCGGTAATCCGTTCCGCTCATGCTGCACCTGCTTGCATATAGGAAAAGCCTATCGGCCAGTGTCCATTTACGGCTTTACACTCCCAATAGAATTCCTGCCTAACTGAACATATCATGTGGCTCTTTTAAGGAGAAGAGACTGACGACAACATATTTGTTTTCAGATTTAATTTTTTCACACTGTTTTATTTATTTTACATTACTTTTCACACATATGTTCAGATACATTCAGAGAAAAAAAAAAACAAAGCTCGTGACATGGGGAAGTATCAAGAGGGAGTCCCAATTGACAACTGCTCCTATGTTGTGTCTCGCACTTGCCTTCCAGCGTTCCTAAATTTGTTCTCGAAAAGAAACATGGGAGTTAATACAAGAAAATCAAAGAGTTATACAATTAGAATTTTGCTATCTTTGTCATTATAGTATGCTCGTTTATTTTACATCATTGTTCACACAGATGTTGAAATACATTCAGAGAAAAAAAAAATTCGTAACAAGGGGCAGTATCAAGATGAAGTCCAAATTCACATCTGTTCCCACGTTGTGTCTCACACTTGCGTTCAGACTTTCCTAAATTTGTCTATGAAATGAAACGTTAGAATAATATAATTACAAGTTTAGCGAATCAAAGAGCTATACAATTCGAATTTTGTTATCTTTATCATTACTTTATGCTGACTAAGACCATATCTTAATTTTCACTCTGCAGGGGCGTAACTAGGAAGGGGAAAAAGTTTTTATAAAATGTATCAATACAAATGATCCTATTTGGATGATATAGAACAGGAGAGTACCATTACATAAACATTCGTATAACATATCTATCCCACTATAATAGTAACATAGAAATATTGAATGTTATCGTGGCTTCAACTCGTTTTCATTAGTCGGTTTTTTCATATAAGACTTCAACCTCGTTTGGTGAGAAATATTCACTTCCTGCCATGAATGTGTTGGTGAAGTCGGAGTCAGGACTTTGACCTTTGGGTGCGCTGTAGGACATTCCGATGTGTGCATAGGATTTTTTACCCAGGTGAGCGTTGTCTACAATTGTAAGATCGCTTCCTGAACCAAATACTGGTCCATTTCTGTCACAAGACATCATAGAAAATCCGATGGGACTGTCATATCCGAGTTGGGGCAGTTTCGTTGGTCCCCAGCCAGGCTTGTTTACTAGTGAAAACATGAACGATGTTGGACTGTGCACTCGTCCACAATAACCTTTTTTAGCTGAAAAGTGAAATTGTAAGAAAAAGTTATTGTAAATTATTTGTTAAGTGAGATGAATTAACTAGAATAATTATAAAAGGATAGCAACGAAAATGCATCAACAACCGATAGGATATACTCAAACAACACCCGAAAAAAAAATTAAACCAAAGAGTTATGTGACGGTATGAAGTTAGATAAAATCCAGCATTTGAAATTTCTAATTTCTGTCTTGTTATGTGCTTCAAACAAAGTTGACTCGGTGTTGTTTGCTCGCCAGAAATGTTAAATTAATCAGAATAATTCTTCGCAAAAAAGATAGGGAGGCAAGATAATTTTAAACAATAGAGACAAAACATCGTCATGTTGGCCAGTATTTAGTTTGTTCAGTATGATTTAATACTCATTCTTATGTAATTAGGATGTGGTTACTATATGAGTTCGAATTCTGAAGTCATTTAAGATTAAACTATCGCGATAAGTTTCGTTACTGTGTCTGTCTTATTTAACTCCCGTTAGTGGAGGAGTGTAGTTTGTCTGCAGACCTTCATTTGGACCAACGCGAAAGTTATTGTTTTGTGTCTGTCTTATTTAACTCCCGTTAGTGGAGGAGTGTAGTTTGTCTGCAGACCTTCATTTGGACCAACGCGAAAGTTATTGTTTTGTGTCTGTCTTATTTAACTCCCGTTAGTGGAGGAGTGTAGTTTGTCTGCAGACCTTTATTTGGACCCACGCGAAAGTTATTGTTTTGTGTCTGTCTTATTTAACTCCCATTAGTGGAGGAGTGTAGTTTGTCTGCAGACCTTTATTTAACTCCCGTTAGTGGAGGACTGTAATTTGTCTGCAGACCTTCATTTGGACCCACGCGAAAGTTATTGTTTTGGGTTACTGTGTCAGAGGTTGACTTGGTTGATCGGAAGCACTGATTATGGTGTTTTTTACTTAGTGAACAGAATTGAGCAGCAATACTGAGTCCAAAAGTGAGAACACAGAATTCGGAGGAAGCAGTACAACACAGAATTCAGTTGGGGAAGAGAACATGAAGAGATTTATCTCAGTTAAGAGTCAGACAACAAGAGTTACACAGAGTGAAAATAGATTGATGCAAGTAGAATCGATTTTGTATTTGAGAACCGATACATAAAAGAAGAACAGTTAAAGACAGCTCGATAGTTTGGGGCGACTTTCGCCAGGTGGGTGCGGTCTGCTGCCATTTCCTATAACATTGCGACCCAAAATACTTGAAAAGTTTCGTCGTAGCAATCAAACTAATCAACAAAATAAGAATACTTCTGAAAAAAAAAGAACACCTCATATAAATTTCAACCACTCCCGTTTAAACAAGAAGGCGCGCTATATAAGTAAGTCTTCCCTGGGAAGACCTAGGCTCATTTGTCACTCACCGTTGACGTGTGCGGGTCAAATTTAAGTGCTGGTAGACGAACAAAAGGAGTTAATGAGATATCTATTGTTTACTTCCACCAGCATGGTAGCATGAGGTAACGTGCGAACCACCTACTTCGATCTCAAATTTACCGCCACAAATAAAGACAGTTTCCATTGGAGAGAGGAAATAGAAATCTCAAAAATTCTTGTATTGTGATGAGGACATAAAACAATTTTGAGGAATGCGCCAGCTGTTCACTGCTTTGGAGTAGCTGTAGCTCAAGCTGACTTGACTCTAAGAGTTTTACATCACACGACGGTTGATTGACAAATGGTCTAGTGGGACATAAGGCTCATTTTATAGCGCGCCTTCGTGTTTAAGTGAGCTTTTTTAACCCATGAAATTTAAGATAAAACTCATTAACTTTTTCTCTGCCCTTACTGACAATCAATTCAGAGGAACAAGTTTTGCAGGCAAATAAAGCAGAGAGCACCACCTATCAAACATCAAACAATTACACTAGAATGTTTTGCCAAAGGATTTTGAAAACCTCCTGTTTTTAATTCGAAGTTTTCCTTCTTGTAGTCTAAAGAACCAGCTCAAAACGTTTTAAAAACATTTCAGAGTAGGTTGAATATAAAAAGAGTGATTGCGGCTTACATTGGCTTACCTTAGCACCTGCCATACATGTTTTGTTAGGTCTACAAACTCATATTCTAATTCGCAAGGGTTTGACTCACTAACGCGAAAAAGGAACTTAAAAGAGACCTTGAAGATCGTTACTTACGATGTCTTTTCCATGATACACCAGCGTATCCACCAAAGATGTAAACTCCAACACGGACAATTACCAAAGTCGGCCCTTTGTTATCACACAATTGGTGGAATTTAGAGCCTTCCCAACCATGTTTTGATGCCTTCCAACAGGTAACCCAGGAAGAGGTTCTGCTCCTTACAACAGGGTATAACCATTTGTTTAGGGCTATGATGTGAGTTTCATTGTTTCCAATTATGCTTGATTGTCCCGCAACTAAAGATGAAAGAGAAATACAGTAAGACCTGAGGTTAGAAATAAGTTTAGGTTCCATGCAGTCCCTGGGTTTAATTACTAGAAATGATTGTGCGAGTTTGGTTCCCGGTAAATAAAGCATTAAAGGCCTACTTGCCCACCAAAAAATCTAGCTGCATTTCCTTAGAGGTGTACTTTTGTGTGCTATGTGTACATTTTTGTGTACATTTTTGAGTATATTTCCTTTAGAGGTGTACTTTTGCGTACTATGGCACTATGAAAATTTGAGGAGAGAGTAACTTTTGTGTCACATGCAGTTTACGCTCTACATTAAAAAATAAAACTGAAAGAGTAATACCAAACGATCTTGCAAACACTGAGGCTATTTCTTGCACCATTCCAAAGCTGTTTGTAGCGCGACAAATGTAATCCGTCCCTTGAGCGCTCTCTCTATCCATATCAATTAAAAGGCATCCAAATTCCTGAGGGTGTGGTATCATGACAGACGTGTTCTCAGGTTGGTACCATTCAACTTTTGGACGGGGGTTTCCTTTCACCTTGCAGCACAGGCTTACATTTGTTCCTCGATCATGAATGGCCAGCTTTGGCGGCCTTTTGGTAAATTTAGGTGGTTCTAGAGGAAAAAAATATCATACTCAAAAGAGGATTGACGATTGTTTTATTAAAAGATAATCATTTCTAGGTACGATGATTTCTTTTATTTTGTTATTTCATGCGTGACCGTATTACTGTGATTTTCAAGTTTCTTATCAAAGTGGATAATTACAGCCATCAAAGAGAAAGAAAATCCCTCAAGAAAATTAAATTTATTACACACTTTCCCCAGTTGATTTAAAAATACATCATAAGGAATCTACGTTGTCTTTCGAAAAAAACCAGAGGCGACAGACATAAAAATTGTTCAGAGCTTAAGAGGGCTGTAAAAAACATGGTATACGCGAATTTTAGCTACTTTATTGCATAACTTTTAAATTAAGGGGATGGACGACGTGCTTAGCTTGTTAAGTAAAGGGTGAAGAATGAGTAAACAAGACATGCATGACCACGGATTTCACCGAGATAAAAATGCTTTATTCTATTTTTACCCAACTTTACTTTCCATGCAGGAAATAATGAATTGTGTACTATGGAAAAAGCTGATAATGGCATATTTTAGCACTCCTTTCTCTGGGTTTCATTTATTGTCTTGTAATTTGCAGAAAATTAACAACTGTGACGCTTGGATTAGTTTAGGAGTGTTGATAACTCCTCAGGCTTTGGAAGCCGCCTTCTTTAGTTTTCAAATTACTGAAAATGAAACTGGAGAATGCACAAATGCTAAAGATCCCACCTTTTATTTCCAACCTGCTGATTGCTTTGAACGCTCCAGAGCGAGCCGTACATATGTAATCCCCAGCATGTGACTTTTGTACCTTTTTGATTAAGAGCATGTGATTGCCTATTTGAACACCACGAGACAAAGAGCCACCAGGCTTCTGCCATGTTATCTTCCAAGGCGACCGACCTTCAACCCAGCAGTACAATATTACTTTCTCATTGAGGAAGACTGCCTGGGAATGTGGATAAACGGCAATTCTCGGTTGAGTGATGCATTCTCCTTTTGGTCCATTCATACCTCTCAGTCCCCTCTGGCCTTTGTCCCCATTCGAGCCATCGGATCCAGCGATGCCAGGAGAACCCATGGAACCAACGTCTCCTTTAACTCCGAGTTGTCCAGGAGACCCTTTGTCACCTTTGTCGCCTTTTAGTCCCTTAGGTCCAACGGCTCCTTGGCTGCCATTCTTGCCCGAAGGCCCAATAGGACCCAATGGCCCTGGTGGACCGGTTAATCCAGGAGGACCTCGTGGTCCAATCTGGCAACTATCGTTGTTAACGCTGCAGAACTGTTTGAATTTCTTGTCGATTTCATTGTGGACTCTCTTCCAAGTTACTGACCCAGAATTAGTATCTCTCCGCTCTCTTTGATGATCGTACTTTGCTGAAACCACACTTATCTCTTTGCTTTCAGAACCTGACAAATAAACGATTATAAAAAAAGATGGTATTTATCTTGTCACGAGCGTAGGGCAACACGCGATCATATTTATTTATTATTGAGGCCAGATGACATAACCGTTTCCTTCAATTTCAGACTTTTCTTTTCAATCTTATTTTGTTACGGTTTTTTGTTTTTTTCCACTTCGACGGTGACAGTGACTCCGACAGGACTCCCTCTTTTCCCTATTCAAAGAGTCTGTTCGGGAAAAATCCTTAAAGAGCTATGCGCTCATCACCGAACTAAACATTTGTGATTACCCAAGAAGTAGGATCATACTGGAAAAAATGTCCTAAGATATTTTGAAATGTGAAAAGCAGACACATCTGACCTGTTCCTTTATCAATTCAATCGATATTTACGTTCTGAAATAGAGGAATAGCTGAAAAGAATAAAGTTATTTAAAACAAAAGAGATATAAGTAAAGGATGTGCAAAGGGATATCATATCATTAAGGCGAGTCATTGCGGGAGATCAGAAAAAGAAAACTGTTAAAAAAAAAAACATGTAAAGGAAAAACCACTTTTGAATACTTTAAAATATATTAAAATAGCTGGAGGCTTATGAAAAATGGTACTTCGTTTCCATCAAGATACTTTTTAGAGGGGAAAACCTCTTGAGCATTATGCTAAAAACATTATTCTCAAGATGAAAATATTAGGAAGACTTCAGTGACAATTCTTGTTTCGTGAGAATTTTCGAGCAAAAAATTCGGCGGGATCACCAAAGAATCTATACCACCTTGATTCAGGAAATGCTCCTTGTCAAAACTGTAATCGCATTAAGTACAACCATATATATTTTTAGCTAATCTTGCATTCCAAGGTAACCTGACCACGAATAACGGTCGCGCCTCGTCAATACCACCAAGTTACCGGAAAAGTGAGAGCAGAAGCTTTAAATAACTTCTACGTAAAGATTATGACAACTCTTTGATTAAATGATTCACTTTTATTTCCTCTCTCCCACGAGGCTCGTAAAACAGGAAATTAGTCAGACCTTAATTAATGCGAAGTAATGTTGACCTCTGAAAAATACGCTGTGGATAAGAGCCAAGGTATATCCCTGTAAAATAAGATAACATCAAATCGAGTTGAAGTAAAGAACAGATTCAAGACTTATGGCCGGAATCAAAACTTAAACCGGGCGATTTGATTCAATCTGATCTCTTTGGTTCTGCATGCACGAATGCTTGTCACGCCCCACTGATCGATATCACGGAATCATCGGATGTAAAGCAGGTGTTTTCCGAGGTTTCGTCACTAGAGTAAAAACGAATAATTTCAAAACATTTTGTGATTGATGTCCTTTGATTCCAGCTCATCAATACGGATTTTAAAGTCAGTTAAGTTTCATCTCTTTAATAATAAATTTGATTGAAAGAACTTTTCACCTCTCTGATCTTGTTGGGGAGACTTTAGAGGCTAATCTGAAGCGGCTTTTCGTCCAAAACAAGAAAATTTTCTAGCAACTATCTTCTTGAATATACTCTAAAGTCCTGTTCACAAATTGAAGATTCTTTTATCTTAAAAATTTTGTCACCGGTCTTGATTCATGATAATTTTGTTACTTGGGCCCATATTTTTGATTGGATTTGGCTAAGCAAAATGTTACCTTGACCAATCTCCATTCATCTTTGGCCTGACCACGAATACATCTCCATCTCTTTTAAAAACACAAAATTATGTGTTTTGAATAACCGCAAAATTTCATCACCGGAGAAAAGAAAAGAAAATGAACGGACAAGTAGATATCATCATAATCACCTCTAAATATATACTAATTCCTTTATTTCTTTTATTCCAGGAAGCATTTTATACATTAACTTATTTAAAGCTAAGATCAGTTGCGTTTAGACTCTTTGGAAACTATGCTATGTAAATAACTGAAAGTAGACCGGCGCGAAAAAAGTAATCAAACCGAGTCAGAGTAAATGAACAGAAAAGAAACAAAACAAAACAAATCAGAACAAAAAACATAATAAACGAAAAAGGACTTTCACTTCTCTAAATTTTGATGAAAAATAGTAGAAGGCTGGTGACAGACGCCTTTTTGCGTACACTAAGAGACTTTACAGGCAGCAAACTCATTGAGCGTCGCGCTCAGTCTTGTACGGAAATGTAGGATTTTCAGAAGTGATAGACCATTTCTGTTTAATGACAATTTTATGAGCCAAATTTTGTAGGGAGACGGGAAATGCTCGGGGCCACAACTGTCATCCCTTATTTATAGCGCCAAATTACCGAAAATCTAGAGCAGATATTTTAAATAACCCAAAGTATATTATCTAGTAAAAGTGAATTGAAAGATGTGATAATAACAACTCAATATTTTATTTATTTAGTTAGTCTGATTTCTCCTTGTCCCATAGGCTCGTTAAACAAAAAATTATTCATATTTTTAAGATCATTAAAACTTGACCTCTTTGGAAAATTCGCTGTGGAAGTAAACCAATGCATATCGGTATAGAATAAGATAACACCACATCAAGTCGGAGTAAAAGAACCGATTCAAGACTAAAGACTAACGAGACTCAGGATATTGATTTGACTAAGGTCACTTAAACTGGGCGATTTGAACCAAACTGATTTTTTAAGTTGTCTGACTCTTGTATACTACCTTGATTCAGGAAATGCTGAGGGTCATAGCTTTGAGGGGGTTGGGGGCAACTATTTGTATCTTAACCTAGTCAATATGTTCGGTAGGGGCCTGATCACGAATACATATCACCCTTTGTTGATATCACGCATCGTAAGGTTTCACCAGAGATAATAAATAAACCCGTGGTTTTTTGACGAGAAAATAAAGACATGAATAGATCATTGATGATGATCTCAAAACATTTCCTTGTTGATATCCTTTGAGTTCTTTCCATCAAGCTCGTGAGACAGGAATTAATTCAGATTTTAACGTCAGTCGAATGTAATGTCCCCGAAAAGATACGGCTGTCGATATAGCCCATGGTAGATCTGTGCAAAAGCAAAAATACTTTTCAGTATCTACTTTTCAGATGGCAAGCTCATTCTCCTTAGAATCTTGTTTGCAAAGTAAGAAGAAGTATTTGATAACTCATATTTCGTGAGGATTTTCGTGCCAGAATGTGGCGGGTATTAAACATGTTAGCCTCAAGAATGTTTATCACACTGATTGAGGGAACCAAACAGCTTGGGGTCATAACTTTGGTTGAATTGGATTAACAAAATGTTACTTCAGTCATCGGTGGCCTGACCACGAATACATGTCAATACAACAAACATACCCTAGGGTGAAAGCAGAGGTTTTACATAATCCTAAATTTTCTTAACTTATGCAAACTAACTATAATAACACTACTAATAATAAGCAAGTAAATAATGATAACTTTGAAATATTTATTGGTTGATTTCCATCTTTTTCCTCGTCCCACTAAGCTCGTTAACCCCTTAATATCCAATAGTGACCATTATATAATTTCTCCCAACAAACTCACTGCCTGATCAAATGTACAGTTCATAAGAATGGAATGATCACCAAATATGAAATGTCTTGATGTTTAAGCAAATTTTCTTCATCAGTAAAATAAGAAACATACGGAGGACACTGATGAGAATATACTTGTTGATATCGGGGCTTAAAGGTTAAACAGAAAGAAATTCAGAATTTAAATGTCATTTCAGTTTGACTTCTTTGGAAAATACGCCAGGAATATGAGCCAGGGTACATCGGGATAATATAAGATAACATCAAATCGAGTTTGAGTTAAAACAGATCATAGATTAAAGATTAAAGACCACCGTGGCTCAGGAAATTCCAATAGCCGAGTCATATGTTTGGACAATTTGATTCAATCTGATTTCTTGGGTTTCCTGTCGCACGGTTTCTTGTCACCACTCATTAATACCACGAAGTTTCTGTTATGTGAAAACAGGTGTTTTCAATTACATTAAAATTTCCTCAAAAGGGCAAAAAATGCCGAAAAACTAAAGTTAAAAATAACTTTAAGATATCTACCCTGTGACTTTTTCATGGGTACTTTGTTCCATAAAGCTCGTTATAAAGAAGATAATCATTATCTCAATGTTATTTGAGTTGACCTCAGTTTGGAAAAAATGCTGTAGATACAGTCCCAAGGTAAAACGACACATATCAAAGACGATAGAATTAAATTGAAATTTGACATTTTTGCTATGCCCTTTTTCTAAGTCAAAGGCGACAGAATGATATCTAAACAACGAGTATTCTCTTCACAGGATGGAGACATAAATAATTAAAATCAAATTGTGCCAGAATGACGCAATGTTTGTTACATAACAATACTACGTGTAAACAATGACTTACCAAAGGTAGAATCAGGCCTTTCCTTAGTACTTGTTGTGGGTGCAGTCTCATAGAACTGTAACTTCTCTTCCACAATCGTATCTATATTAGTTTTCAGGTCATCTTCAATCTGCTGAATACTTTTTTCAAGCGCTTTCGAATTGTTATAATCGAATTCGAATCTCACAAACAACAATGACACGAGAGCCAACGATATCACAGAAATTGCCAAGGAACTTTTGCTTATCTTGTCACCAGATTTCGTAGCCATTTCGTTCACGACGTCTGAGGCGGCACAATACGTCTTAGTAGAATACCCTTTCAGCGCCTGTTTAAACGTACCCGTCTAGTTCAGAATATAACTGATATAGTCGTCAAACAAAACAGATTAAGAAATACTACAGATTTTCCCGGGTTTACAACGTCATTAAACCACGCGGGATGTTGAGAGAACACGAGTTCAGTTTCAAGGTCACGAGACATAAGACGAGTTACTTACCAGTTTTCAGAGTATTCTTTCACCATCCCTCGTGGCTTTATCACTTCATAACAACAGGGAAAGTTAGTTTTCTTTCTTTTAATGACATAACTGTTGTTTGGGTTTTGCGAAGAGGACAAGCAGTCATCATCCATTTTGTGATCAAGTCGCTGATTCTCAGTAAAACCTGGCAAAATGCCTGATAACCAATCACTATGCCAGAAAGAAAAAGAACAAAGGCTTATGCAAAAGTGAACTAAAGCGTATAGTAAGTTCGTCAGCCTGGAGTATAGTTTTAATGTTAGTACATTGGAGGAAAGGTTACCTACTAAGCACTTAGTGACTGGCTCCAGGGAAAACAGGGACTTTACTTCCCTGAGATGAAGATATTCTCACAGTGTTTTGCTATAACCACCACTTCAAAAATAGAGCAAAAATAATTTTCTTGAAGCCGGCTGGCACACAATTTGCCGCGCTTTTAAAGTGCACGACCTGATCACATGCGAGTCGAATGTTCAAATTGTTGATTCCCTTAGTAGTTAGAAAAGTTTTTCCCGTGGCAGGTAACACGTTCTCCGCCAATTGGAAAACGTATCTGCCATAGTAAAGGAAGGCCTGGAAATTAATTTTAAGATGACTCTAAATTTTTGTGTTTTCAATGTTATCTGAATTTGCCTTATCTTTGCGCTTAAAACTGTTTGACGTCTCACTGATGTAAAATGTTTTCTTATTGGTGACGGAATAGACCCATTTCAGAAAAGAGGATTATTTACCGGAAATTTAATGCTTGTCATTCCGTTGAACTGAAGGGTGTTAAGGTCAATCTTTGATAGTCTGATTCAGGCCTTGTCACGCGCTTCATGTTTCACCTAACCTTCTTTGAACTATCAAGGGAAATTGGGGACTTAAAGCAAACCACGATAAATAAGGACAGAAATAAGGAATACAAATCAGTTACAAGAAAGATTTAAGAGAGGTTTATCTTAGTTTTGTTTTGCTCTGATCAATGTTGGCAACGAATGCGAATAATTTTTTACTTGCATCAAGAAGAAAGAAGTGAAACTGCAAATGAAGGCCCCAACGGAATCAAGACAAGTCAAGATGTACCAATGGCAAAAGTTTATAGTTTCATCGATACTTCTTCGGTAACGAACTTTAATCACTGTTAATTTAGAATTAGGTCGTCGGTGAATCTATGGTGACAAGTTTATTTAGATTTTAGAATGCTAATTTCTCAAAAGTTCCAAGGCATTTTACTATTTTGTTCGTGCAGTTCCCGAAAGCAATCATTGATGTTGTTATTATCTGCTCCCGTCTTTATTCCAGAAGTCTTCTTTCATTTCTGGTTTAACGTCAAAGTCAGGACACTGCATCTGTAAGAACAAATGAAATTTATGAAAATTAATGTATCAGTCCTTTTTGATTCAATTCAACGTTGAAACATAATCATGATTCTTCTATAAAATCATTCATAAATTCATGGACCTCAATTATTGTTTTTATACATTATGAGTATCAGAAAATGTGGAAAATTGTCTCTTGAAAGTTCACTATTTCCAAAGTTTCTTCAAGTAACTTAATGGTTAAAAACAGGTAGCCATGGCGTTATGGAAGTTCAGGCTCAGTACAAAATCAGCCCAATCTTATCTTTAAATATTTTTATATGACAGACTGGAATGGGTCGAGCAATTCCAGGCCATTTCGGCGAAACAAGTCTGGCGGTATGACCTCAATCATAGTTCAGATGAAGAACAAGAACAAAAAGAAAAATAAACGAAAAAACAGAGAGAAAAATGGGACAGACTGCTAAAAAAAAGATTGTATTCGAGTTGAATAAAAACAGATATTATTCATGCTATAGCTTCATAATCGATGTAAAGTATCCTGCTTTTTTTATCGAAATCCAACGTCCCTTACTGTAATCACTTGTGGATTTATATTTTGAGTCATTAACTGCTGTACCAGGGATTTACTTTGCACAGTAAATCGACGAAGATTCATCTCGGGACTTACAGTTTCCCAGTAAAATAACCGAACTGAGACAAAGATTCACCTCGTGACTTAATCATAATGTAGATAACAGACAAAATGAGCTTGGGAGGCGGGTATAAGACCTTATAATCAAGTTGTTCAGTGTTTAGAAGAGCACAAAGCAGAAGTCTTTCTTGAAACTCCGAGATCTCTGATTCGCTTTCATTGCAGATATTGCAACTGGTAACGGAATGGATTGGCGACTCGAGTTCCCTTGGAAAAGCGTTGCGACAGTTTGGGATAATTAACCTGCAGTACTCAGTTTGTTATTTCTTACAACTAATACTTTTGCGATATTACCCTTGAGACTGAAACTTACCTTTCGAAATTTTCCTTTCTTACAACAATTCTAATAAGTTATTCCACAAATGCAGAGCGCTGTATTGAAATCCTTTTTAAGATCCTTTCTGTTTGCCTCATTGGTGAGCGAGAAAATCACCATGGCGAAGAGAATGAACACCATGAGCAACATTTCTCAAGGGCTTGAGCCTTGTTCGCAGAAATGTTTTAAGTAGTACAAAGATGAAAACGTGTGCTGTCTTCGACGGCGAAAGCGTGGTCGAGGCAATTAATGGAAATTTGAAAAGCTTTGTCAAATTGAGTATAAAAGGATCATGAACTGAGTTGGGGGGCAAGACTGGAAAATTTTGGCTCGAGGTCCGTGCCTCATGACCGAGAGCCAAATATTTTCCCGTCGGGGCCTGACAAACCCCAGTCAATAAGCATTTTATCATATGACTACCTAGTAGTCCAAGCATGAACCAAGTCTTAAATAGTCGTTCGGCTGGAAATATATATCAAGCCTGTAAAGAGGCTGATGCTATTGCATACATTAGCCTGTGCTGAGAAATTCAGATGCTGTTTTCAGGGAGATCTTCTTTAAGTTGGCAATTCCCCAACTACGCTCTCTTGCCCTGGGCACAATAACTCGAAATTGAATATAATAAAAAAAGGCTTTTAAAATTTGCCTAAAAGTATCATTGTTTCATTGATGGCGATTTTTTTAGCTAGTTTCATTGCTTAGGCGTTGTTGTAGAAACATAAAGTTGCAGTCAGCTGATTCGTGAGTTTTACTGTTCGTTGATGACGCTAACCCAACACTAAACACTTCCTCGACAGTGTGCCTTTTTTTACCTTTTTAATAAAAGAAAATTTTGCCCTTTTTATTCTGAACAACTATTCACATGGGGTGAGTAAAATTAAGGAGAACCATCACCAGTATTTTCAGCAGTTGCTAAAATTCCCCTCGTCTCCGTATGGCCTAGCTCACCATAGAGTTCGCCATAGCTCGGTGGTGGAGCAATCTGGAAGGTCTGTGGCTCGATTCCGCATAGAGTCTTAGTTCTTCTTCGTACACTGCACTACGCAAGGACAGAAAGGAATTATTTATCGGGTAACGAAAGCCATTTAAAACTCTATGTGAAATCCGTATCTAACTCTCATAAAATTTTATTTGAAGTCACATAGCTCTCTTTAGTTCAGGCCTGATTCACCACCGAATCGCACGATTCACGTCCGGAATCCAAGGTTCTTACAGAAACAAAGTCCTGTCCATAGTACTATTACTCGACTACCAACTCTTTCGAGACGGGAGGAGTCTGAACTCTAGTATTTTGTAATGGCTGTCGCTGTGAAAAATAGTATTTTATCTACATTTACTTCACGTGAGGTATCAGAGAACTGATCAAGAGGAGAATTAAAAAGGTTTTAGGTTTAAATAGACCTACTCTTGATTAGTTAACTTTGAGGAACGGAAAATTGATGAACATCATGACCTGGGAAGGTTTCATTCGCAATTTGAAACACAAGATCAGATTGAAAATAAGCTTAACTTAAGTCTATTCAATATGCGGCAATTTTCATTGTCTGGTAGGTGAACTCACTGACGCACGCTTTGACCTCTTATCATTCCTTTAATTTATTTGTGAAAACCAAGAGAATATTGTTCATCAATTGATCGAACACGACCAGTCTCTCAATTAATCATTCTTTATTTTAAAGTGTCTTCCTTTGGAAGAGAGGTCCCTTAAAAACTTCAAGTACTATAACTATGGCAAGTGTTGAAGAAAGAGAACAAGATTTACACACACAAAGTCACGATGAAAAGAAGACCAAGGAACAAATAATGCACAGGAGCAACAGAGTAGGTACTCCAACCGTAGAGAAGCCTTTTAAATGTGATCAATCACTGATCAATGCCCCAAGAACTTCAGCAGTAGCAGTAGTCTGTACAAGCATTAGTCTGTAAAGACAGTATAGTCTGTGAAGAACGTGGAAAGACTTTCAGCGAAGCAGGGACTCTTAGAAGACACAGCTCACAGAGTGGTACATTTGGGAAAGAGACATGCATGTAACCAGTGTAACTGCACATTATTTTAGTCTCAAGTGGGATCTTCAAAGCCATGAAAGGACATATACTGGAGTGAAGCCTTTTCCATGAAGCTACTGTGGAAAATGCTTTAGTTATACTCTAGAAATCTTCACAGACACTATAGAATACATACAGGAGAGAGACCTTTTAAATGCAAGTATTGTGACAGGCAATTCACACAAAAAGGAGGTCTCCATAGACATAAGAATTCTTATACATATGGTATAAGAATTTCCATCACCCAGACCCACTGAAGATCCATCTCAGGGTGGTATGTGGAGGAGAGAGACCATGTAAATGTGAACAATGTGGCAAAAGTTTTAAGCAGAAGGTACATCTTCAGTCACATGAAAGCATACAAACAGGTAAGAGACCATTTACTTGTGATCAACCACGTGGAATGAATTTCCACTTGAAAAGTCACTTCCAACTTACAGCACTTTACAACTCACTCAGTGGAGAAATCTTTTCCATGCAGTCAGTGTGCCAAGTATTTTAAACAGAAAGGCCATCTCCAGGTCCATGAAAGTACACAATTGTAGACACAAATGCTTTGGCTGCCATCAATGTGGGGAGTGTTTTCACTTTAAAATTTAATGTCATCTCTATTTACACAGCGCTCTTCACTTTCAAAAGAAACCTACCCCTCCTGAACAGCATGATGAAATTTTTACTCAGGAGCACAATCTCCAAACCCCTCAAGGTACATGCAAGGGAGAAATTCTATCATGCATTAGGCCCCTTAAACTGTCCCTCTTCATGACTAATCAAATGACAGCAGTAGCACAGCTCTCAGATAGGGGAGCAGAAACACTGGAGCATGTGATTTTTCCTCAACAATGGATTTTAGAAATTATTAAGATACATGTAGGTGTATAACAGGAAACTTGGTCCATCAGAATGTCTGGCATGGGTAATTTTTCCACTTGGACAAGGAAAAATATGGCTTCACTTGTCTGATCACTCAAGCTTGCAAAATAAGCCATCATTACTTTGCAAATATGGTTACATGTATTTTGCACAATGGGCGAGATGTAAGGGTAAAGGGTTGCACTCTCAGCCTGAAATAATCTGAACTAATTTTGAATAAAAGCACACTTACCTCACTTAAGTGGTTGTTCCTTTTCATCACGTGAACTTCTTGGGCTAATTTGGGGCTGGTTTGCTGGGTTCTAGTTTAGCTGCTTTGCCTTCTATGTAATCATTTCAAGGCTATTTGCATATTTACAAAGGCTCACTCTGTGACCCTGGAATACCTCTGCATTTATAGTGTCAAACTGGGAGAGAAATGTTGGTTACGCCTTGCAAAAGTGGGCACCCTTATTCGTGAATCTCATCTCTTGTATTGATAGAACTCAAAGGCACACAGCTAAATACATTCTGAAATTGCCTCTTTTGAGCCCTGTTTTTTATATAGAAAGACTGAAATAGTTGAAGTTGCTTCGCATAACATATTGGCAGGAATATCTTGATAATTTATGGTATTTTTTCTTTAAACTGACCCACGGTCTTGATAAAGTAGGTAGCAACATTTTCCCTATATTCGATCTACCGGAAGAAATACACAATCGAACACTTAAGTGTCATCAAATATACAGTCAGTACTTCAACATTTCAGAAATCTCTTCTTATTAGATCTACACGAATTTGGAACACACTTGCTGATCAACTTGAGCTTAATATGGACAGTATCTATTCTTTTATGGCTACTAGGAGGGGATACTATGATTCCACCCTTAGTGCTACCTACAATGTTAATAACCCCAGTTTGTTCAAAACCAAGTGTAATTGCTCTAGAAGTCTTGTTATGCACATTACATGCTGGATGTAATTGTACCTATTTTTTAGACTTTTTAATTGTTTTTGTAATTGTATCTATTTGAAATTTTTTTTTTTTAATTTCTCAGGGCCTGCAGAAACTGGCTACCCACTGTTGCAGTTCCCCTGCCATACTTTGTAGTGGAGAAGTTAATAAATAAAGAAATGTAGGCATTTTACTAATTATCCTTTGCTCCTCAAAGGCTTGTACATAAGCTGGCATCAATGATGATAATAATAATAATAATAATAATAATAATAATAATAATAATAAATTTTATTTATATAGTGCACTTATCCCATGCTCAAGGCTCAAGACTGTCAAATTTTTCACACATTATTTTAATTGGCCTGGGAACATTTGCCTTTTACTTACAGTAGCAAATTAGATTTTTCCTGACAATTTTATTTATATGTGAAAATTCTATCCATTGCTTAATATTTAATCTTAGTGATGTCCATGTAAATATTTGTAATACAATTCTTTCACAGTAACAGCACTATTTCAAACAGAAAGGTTTGCATGTATCTTAATTGTAACATTTCTTAAAATATTGTTGAGTGCATTTAACTTTAACTCCTGAAGTTCTGGTTGGCTTTGCCTTAAGGGCAGAGAGTTTCATTACTGTATCTATAGGCCTTTTGCAGCTAAGCCATCACGTGACCTACTTTTCATGAAATTATGGGCTATAATAATAATAATCGACTTTACTTAAAGAGGGTAGACACACAACAGCTTGCGCTGATAAACCAGTGGCCCTCAAAACTAAAGTTAGTAAGTAATACATTCTAAGCCATAGANGAACAATGTAACTATTCAAAGATTATAAATACAATAAAACTAGATTATAATACAGCTTCAAAAGAATCAATGTCTCTATAAGAATTTATAAAATAATTCTTCAAATCATTCCTAAGAGAGGAGATGCTACGTTGTTTCCTAAGCTCATTTGGAAGACTATTCCATAACTTAATACTACTAACTTGGAAAGACCTTCCTGCCTCAGTAGTATTTCGATACTTGGGACAGATTAGGTTATACTGGCCATGCCTGGTCTCTCTACCATGCAGGGAGTGATTTGTAGTTAAAGTACTTTCAATATACGTAGGGGATTCCCCATGCAGTGCCTTATAGATTAACACGCACTTTCTTATCTTGACTTCATCAAAGAATGGGATCCAATTTAGTTTCTTAAAATTTTCCACAGTTCTTGATCTGATACCTGTACCTAATATTACACCCGCTGCATGTTTCTGCAACCGAAACACTCTCATGAGATCTTCCTTAGAAGAATACGTCCAAACTATACTACCATACATCATGACTGGCTTAATAAGGGCATCATAGAAGAGTAATCTTTCCTCAGTAGGTAAATAAGTACACAACTTTTTCAGTAGGCCAATTTTTTTGCTAAGCTTCTTACAAAGTTTATCTACATGTTCCTTAAAAGTTAGTTCTTGATCAATTGTAACCCCAAGCAGTTTCTGATGTATAACTTGCTCGATAGCTGTTCCATTTGCTTGCAACTTCAAACTAGGGTCAGCTACACGTCACTTGAGACGCTTGCCACTTACCAGAATAGATTTGGTTTTCCCAGCATTTAAGACCATGCGATTTTGAGTAGACCATGCGTAAACACTGTCAATGTCCTCCAGAAGTTTTGCATAGCCAAATTCAGAAAAGGAAAAAGCATTTCGAAAATAACAAAATGGCCAAGTTTGAGGCCTCCATTATTCAAAAATGAGATTTGATGACACTCTTAATTTTTTAATAAATAAGAAGGTTTATATAGAAAGAGTTGCTGGAGAGCAAGGCCTTGCTCTCCAGCAACATTTTCCATACAAATACTCTAAATTTTCCGAAAGTTCAAACCACTGTAAAAACAGTGCTCTGTAATTCCAGGGGCCCAAACTTGGCACTTTGGTATTTTCGATATGCTCTTTCCATCTCTGGTATTCTTCAAGTTGTATCCCATAATATATATCTAAAATTGATCACGTGACCCCAGCTGCAAAAGGCCTTTTTCCTCAGTAGATTCTACTTTGCTCACACTTCAATTATTGACATCACATGAAAAAGCTACTGTAGAAAGAGAAATAACGAATCATTTAATCAGAGTTATGGTTTACGGTAATATGGATGAAATTTCCATCAGGGGCATGAAAATAAATATTAATATAAAAGGGACAGAGAAACTGGTTGTTGTTGATCCCTGTTGAAATAAATATACTTGTAGTTTACAATACAATGAATAATGGAATATTTTAGTTCTATTCTTTTCACTATGCTTTCAATAAATCTATTGAGCAAGATAACAGCTAATCATCTCATATGACAGTTTATCAAAATCATTCACTTTTCCCAAGAGGGTAAACAAGGAAGATGGGGTAAAACAGTTAGTCTTTTGGTTAATGAATGAATCATTGTTTACAGAAGACTGGAAGAATGCATTCATTGCAGTTCAATCCATGACTAAATCCTGACACAAGAGATTGTTATTGTGAAGGTTCACAATGATGAATATAAATCTCACTCTTTTTTAAAATAACAACAATGACTGATGTGTGTGACTCTTCAGCCTATATGGAATTTTTGTTCTTTGTTGTAGGTAGATAAAACTAAAACTACCCATTCCAACACGTCAGTTCTCATTTTCTCCTTGGCATTGCTTTTGCTAGTTTGTAGCTAACTGTTAGGGCTTTGCAGATCAAAACTGCCATAATACTTCCAAAGAGATCTGCTTTCCCAGTTACTGTCAGAGGTATTAAATAAACCTGTCAGTAAAAGCTCCTGATTACACTTTCCTGCACAGAAAGATCACAAGCTCCCTTATAAGGTGCCCGCTGGTAAAAATGAAATAGGAGCTAGGGGAGCACTGCTGGCAGGAACAAATTCCATCCTGATTACACTGTCTTGCACAGAAAGATCACAAGCTCCCTTACAAGGTTCCCGCTGGTAAAAATGAAATAGGAGGTAGGGGAGCACTGCGGGCAGGAACAAATGCCATCCTGATTACACTGTCCTGCACAGAAAGATCACAAGCTCCCTTATAAGGTGCCCGCTGGTAAAAATGAAATAGGAGCTAGAGGAGCACTGCGGGCAGGAACAAATGCCATCCTCTTTCGTGGTGGTTCCAATGATAGATTAGTTTTGTTAATTGTGTTCAGCATAGCTTCTGCAGCTTTGCGCTTGGATTCCTTTTTAGATCTGCCTTTACCAGTACATAACAAGTTTCCCACTGTTACTGTTGTCTCAAAAGTCCTTTGGTGAGGGGGACCATCTCCATTAGATACCTCAAATTCTGGTTTTTGCATTCCATTTTTAACAACTACCTCTTGCAGATGACTTATCGGGTTATTATGTGGAGCAAGACCAGATGTTGTTGTCCATTGCTGGTAAGAGAAAATAATAATTATGATAGATATTTAGAAGAACTAAATTGTCCTTTAACCCTTAAACTCCCAGAAATGATTAACATGAAACTTCTCCCAAGAACATTCATACATTATCAAGCAAACAGGTAATAAGAATACTCAAACTTATAAGTTGATATTATACAATGATTGTATGTAGCCATGTAAACAGATTTTCCTTGTCAGCACATCAAGAAACAAAGAGAATGGTTTGGAGAATTTGAATACTGATGTTACACTGAGAAGGGTTAAACAGGGCCAAGCAACAAATCAAGACACATTAAAAAGTCAGGTCCATAAACTTACATTAACATATTCAACATAAAGTTGAGATTCTTTAAGCTTATTCAATGCCATCCTGGCTGCCTCATGCTTGGCCTTCTTTTTCCCACACCCTGATCCCTCAGCTGTAATATCTCCTACAGTACAGTGCATCACAAACAGTCTCTTATGGCTTGGTCCTGTATTTGCAACAGTCTCAAAGTTACACACCAGCCCCATTTTCATGGTGAGCTCCATCAGCTCAGCGATAGAGGTCTTAGCTGCTGGCTGCACAGCACTTAATGTGACTGGAGAAAGCTGGGGTCCACATGCCTCAGCAGATGAGGATCCTTGTGGAACAATTGAAGGAAGGCCAGTGAAGCGTAAAGGTATTGTACTCCCTGACATAGCTAAAGTTGAGGACAAAGAAGAATGTTTCAACAATATATGAAGGCATATTTCACTGATTACTGGGAGGACTTCTCCACAAAATGTCTTAGATAACCTTTCTCATTTGCTATGTATCTTTTTATTATATAAATAGCCCAGAGCTATTGCCCCTCACAAATTGAACCATGAAATTAACACAAAACAGGAACAATGAGGGAAAAAAAACCTTTAGATTGTAAGCTCTGGGGGTAGTGAACCTAACAAAAATCAGCAACAACAGACTGAAGAAACTTTCATTGGTTACTTCGTATTAAATTTTAATTAAAAAATATAGCGCTAATGTACAGTGTAAGCCATGTTTATTAGTGGTATCCTTTTTTACCTGTACTCCCAGGCATAATTAAATTTAACCTCTCTGGCCCAGTAATAATCTACACAACAGCCAGCAAACAGGTAATGACAATATACTCAAAATTATCGGGTAGAAGTTGTTTTCTAAATCTACCACCTAATTCTTGCAAACGAATTAGTAGCTGCATGGAGGGAAGAATTAATATTCAGATCTTGAAAGTCAACTGAAATATCAACTGAGTATTGGACTAATCCCCTAAGGTCAGGACATTCGGTTCAATCCTCTGGAACAGCGTTATTATTAAATCAAATGAAATAGTAGAAGTTTGTTCACAAGATGACTCTGAGAAGAATAAAAATGCAAACAAAGTGCAAAAAATATAGCCAAATTGTAAATGCACAGAAGTAGAATCTTTGGCGGCTTAAAATATATTTTGATTGGCGAATTGCTTTGGAAATGTAGCAACAGAATAATTTACGTCCGATTGTATTAAAAGACTTGAATTAAGCTCATGATGGAAATCAGGAATCTAAAAATTTAACACTCGATTCAAACCATGTGCCTGCAAAGTCGTCCCATCTTGTAGTAATATCAAATATAGTCGGATACAGTGTACATCAGCTGCACCCAGCTACAAAATGTAAACACTGCATGTATTTTATGTATCATGCGAGTCGAAGGCCTTTGCCATCATACTAAACTTCGAATAAATTTGACAGGGAAGAATCACACCATATCTAGTTTCATCTCGAAACATATTAGAAAAGAAGTCGCTCACCTCGCTTACGAGTCTGTTTTGAAAACCCAAAGCCCTTTAGTCGATCTCGATCTTATTCCATCATCCCCTGATACTGGCAGCGATGGAGAGATGTGGCGAAAAGACTGGATGCCACTCGTTCCAGGCACTGCCCGAGAATCAGCCCAGGTGCTAATAATTCCGGGATTTTTGCGACATATAATTAAATCTGAACAATGTGCAACATGCAGCAAGAACTTACAACGTTGTTCACTGTCAAAACTGATCATTTTGTTCAATATTTTCGTCGTTGCTGTTTTTCTGAAGTGGAAAATGAGAGTATGAGGTGGTCACTTTGACAAAATTTACCTCTGTAGAACACAACTTTCCTGCTATGATGACACTAAGATCTCGAGGAACGATTTTACTCCGACCACAAATTGGCTGGCTCTGGTCTTAATATTACACCTGTTAGAGTACAATCCACGGGATATAATTGCTATAAATCCTAATTCAAATAATCAAAAAAATAATAATGACATTAAATATATATATACAACCTTCGTTGTCCCATTAGATATCCTTGCTTCTATATAATTCAACAATCTTGATTAGTAATATGAAAATTTTAGACCCTAGCATCCAATTCTAGTCGCTGTTGGCGGATTTTAGAGGCTAGCGTCCAATTATGACAGTATCCGAGTTTAAATACTAGCATCCGATCTTTGTCACTAGGGTCTGTTTGGACACCAACGTCCGATTTTAGACGCAAATGTCCGATTTTTAACACTGGTGGCCTAATTCCCACATGAGCGTCCGATTTTAGACGATACCATCTGATTTTGAACACTACTTTCCAGACGGGGTAACTAGCGTGTAAAATGGAACACTACATAGTATCCAAAATTGGACACTGTCTGAAATCGGTCTCGAGTGTCCAAAATCGGACACTGTTGTCTGAAATTGGACACTAGCGTCTGAAATCGGCCACTTGCGACTAAAATCGGATACTATAGTGTCTAAGATTTTCATATTACCAACACGCGAACCTTTATGTTCACGGCGAAACTCGACTACCTTTTCGTTCGGAAACACGTGTACTTTTTGGTTAACTTTTGCTGATCTTCAAAACAGGTGCGCCTGAATAAGTTAATCAAGTGGATTCAAACGAAAACGGTTTCAAATTTAAGTGTTAAGAGCGCACATAGTAAAACGGAGGCTTCTGAGAACGTTGACTTAAAAAAGGTCACATACAGTTGGTTCCATCAGCTTATTCCAGCCTGAAGTGTGAACAGTAGATAAAACGCATTAAAAAAGATACGTTTCCAATATAAATGTATTAGCGTATACTGGTGACTGAAACAAAACAAAAAATATCACGATTAAGAAAATATATATGCATAGCATCGATTAAGACAAGTGATCACTACAAATGAAATATTTCTCGACTGACACTTCCATTAATAATCATCGTAAGGGAAACCTGAAACAGGTTAAATACAATGGATTTATCCAATCACGACACTAAATCGTGAGGCTTTTAACTGTTGTTTAACTGTCGAAGTTGTCCTCTTGCGAGACAAGATAAGTATCGCCGGCGCAAATGTGTTGAACTCAACAGTTTTGGTGTTACTAAACAGAACGTCAACAGTTTTACAAGCTTTTCTCATATACCGGCGTACTTGTGTCTCAGCACATATTCGATAAATTCTTCTCCAAAGACATAAGTTCTTTTTTCACTGCCAGAACATCGTTTCTTAGCTGTTCAATTGAGTTAACCACTCTTAACCTTTCGCAAAACAACTCGAATTTTTTTATTGCATTCTTGACGCAGATGGAGTTCCTTTGAGAAAGCTCTTGGTTTGAGGGATTTCTAAGAATGTAGGGAATGTGAGTCTCGCAGATATGAATCAAATCTTGTTTCTGTATATTCGACGTACATGTCTTGGTAGCTGTGTCACACGACGATTGGCAATCGTCTTTGGAGCCAAACCAGCAATCAGCATCAGAAACACATTCTATTTGCTCCAGCGCATGCCTAAGATAATGAACAGGATAAACCCAGTCGAAATCAATCACTTTGACTACTGAATTATTGGTGATTCCAAAATTCCCGAGGTGCATGTCACAAGATTGTATCATACCATATGGGTTACTGGACAGATCCACTACAGTGTCCAGCAGTGAGTGGAAAAACTCAAACTGCTTCTTTTGACTGGGTATCTGTATGTTAAATAGGGTATATAAAATACGATGCAATGCCGGTACATCCTCAAACATTTCTGGAAAATACGGGATAGACCAGAGTGCATCGGCAATCTTCCTAGTGCGTTTTATGAACATTTCTTGAAAGGGTTCAAATGCATCAGGCACAATGTTCAAATAATCGAATTTCCACTCTGTACCAAAATAATTCGAGGCAATGGAAGGCAGTTTTTCGGTCACATATATTCCACCGCAATATCCATAGAAATCAGCAGTCTGTTTGCTGTCATTTAATGCAATCAACATAAACGGTTCTTGCTGATGTAATAATGACACCAACGACCGCCCTTCGGGGGCCGTCACAATACCATCATTGTCGCTATCACCGAGGGATAGGAATAGTGACACAAGCCTCCTGCATTGAGGGCAATCACCAAATAAATTTTCCACAAAGAAAGAAACGTCATCTTCAAAACTTAGCACAACATCTTCGTCTGTTTGTTTCCGAAGTGTTTTGAAGTCTGTATACCATCGCATATTTTCCTTAAAAATGACGTCTCTTCCACGCCATTGGCCGTCATAGACTTTATCCTCTACCACCTCTGTAAGGCAATTTCCAAAATGGATATTGTTCTGTTCACAAAGATCAGGGCATAAAGGTCCAGACAGTTCACCTGCTTTGTACGTTTGACACTGAAAAAGTGGAACAAAGTGTTTACTTGGTACTCTGAAGAGAAGAAAGAGCATTTGGAACGGAACAATGGGACGAAAAAACGAAAGGAAAAAGGAGAACCAGTTACATAGTGCTGGGTTAAAGAAGAGCAAACAAAATAAAAGAATACTATTGTAGGGTCAAAATTGAAAAATTTAACTAACCAGCACATTGGCGATGGAAGGCAAATTGCACTTTAAATGTCTCTCAACTGCCGTGAATGTAGCATACAGGAAAACAACTAAAGCCAGCAGCATCAGATTCCATCTGGCCATGATCGAAAGACCACACAGTGTCTGTCAAATAGAGAAAGAAAATTACACTCAAAATTTTATGTCACTATGACAATAAAACTGGTTTGCAATCTACAACTGAGTGCCACTTCTTAGAGACTTGCTGCCTCTTGGCACTGAAACTACGGTTGGAAAATTAAGGGTGACCCTCACATCAGGTATTTAAGTAACAACACTTTTGATCTCATGTTGCACGTTTTCCAAACATTTGCTACTGAAATCAAATGGTATGTCTCTGTGGTTCTGAAAGAGTGCAACATGGCATGTGAGTTTAAGGTGGTCAGGTATATGTCATGGCAAGGAAGAAAGAGGAATAAATCAGAATTTTGGCCTTTCTTCGCTGAAACCCAAACCATTCATTAAAAGAAGCATGGAGCGAGCATTTGACAACTTATGGGAGAGATTGGGTTTCTTGATTGTTATAATTTTGACCTCAGTAAAATTCTGATTTAATTTCCAATAAATTATCATTTTCTCTTGTTGTGTTATACATTGTACAAGAACGTTATATCAAACTAACCTTAAAATCTTTGTGTCAAATAATTTCCGGTCACGATTGTGACAGAATTTTTCGTTACTCATCCAGAAACCATATCACAAAGCAAACAATTTCGTTTCGCGGAACACTACAGCTTCTAATCACCGTAATATTGCATTGCCAAATTTGTTGAGCGACCGGGATAGTGACGTTAAATCTCTCAATATATGTGACAGTCAGATATTAGGTCATTACATTCCCCCGTCGTCATCCCTTGAATTAAGGAAAGGTCATAGAAAGGAAAGAGAAAGGAAGTTTGTTTACGCGGTATAAATCGTAAAATCAGTACTTTTTTCGTTATCCAGAAATCTGCAAACTTCTTAAAATTGCTTGGTAAAGAGATTGTTATAATTTTGACCGCAGTCATGACAGTGGTAAAGAGGAAATTACTGCTGCGGGTTAATTCGTATTGAATGTTGTCATGCGAATACGGAAGCCTTGGTGATATCACTTTAATTCATTCAGGTAAGCGATAATTACTAAGTTGCTTATTTATAAATTCCTTCTTCAGTTTCCCTTACCTTTCCTTAACTAGTGAACCAACATCAGTCAACTGTTACTGCACTTTTGCAACGAGTGGCCATTTTGAACCTAGTTCCCAATCCCCATATGCATTGAAAGATATAACGTGGACTGGACTGACTTGGTTTTGGGGAAAACGGACGAAGAGGACATAAGATACACCATGCAGAGTTCGTGTATAATGGTAACAAGAAAGATTAGAAATGACATAGTAAAAGCAGGATCACTATTTTTTTCTCATTCTTTTGTTGTATCGCAATCTCTCATTTGTCGAACTGTGAAAAAATTCCCCCACAACTTCTAAAGAAGTAATTCAAGCGTGATATGTTATTTGATTCAAGGACGTTGTGATGCGTATTCGAATAAAAGAAACATTTCTAATGTCATGATAGATTCATGATAGGAGAGGGATCTTTTGTGCCCCGGATAGCAACGTTCAGTTTCTTTTATTTTCACAGAAAAGCCCACAAACTTCTGGGGACGATCTGGGGACGAGATTGAAGCAGCAGGCTCAGCTGGCTAGCGGAATATTTTGTTGATATGCAGCTGCTTGATATAAGATACTATCAGCGAGTCGCCCAATTGACTTCTAAAGGGTTGTTTTCATCAACCAGCGTTCGAGCTTGGTAAGCCAGTCTTTGTCGTATCTAGCATATTTAAAAACACGTAAAATGTGTAAATGACTGCTCGCTTTGCTCAACAAGCCGTCAATACTTTCTCCATGAAGCTATTAGCCAGTTTACGTGGTTAGAAAACATGCAGCCATTGAACGTCAAGTAAATTATCAACTTGAGTTCTAGCAGAGGTAAGGAAATCTTCAGTTGAGGAGACTTATCCCTTCTACCAACAAATTATCTCAATTGATATTGAAATACGGCCTGGGTAAAATAAGAAAATGGAAGTAACAAACGCTGCATGTTAGCGATCGAATTCGAGAGTACGTTCAGATATTGTATCCATCTATTGCAGGTTTACAGGCGCAAATGACACTTAATTTCAGAGTGATCGCTCTAATGTAACATTTTTGAGCTTTTAATTCTTCGATTCTTGGTATAAAGTTGCCTGGTTGTGTAGAGAAATCGTTTAAATTTTGTTTGTCCTATTAAGTTTCACTTCCATAACAATTTCCACACAGTTCTGTTTCATATGTAAGGTAAAAGCTTTTTAGGTTTGTCACCTCAGTCTGTGTTTTTGTGCTAATGGTTTGCTGGATTGCGTACACTTGCTCATGAGGGCAAAACTTTGTTTGTAGGAAACCACAGAGGTACATGTACATAGTAATACCTTAAGTTGCTATATGTATCTGCTCACTTGCCAAAAGATTACAAAATAGGGCTAACGTATATGTTTACTGTTGCTGATGGGGAGTCAAATCTGGAAGTTCTTGTGCGGTAGGCTTTGCCTCTTTTTGTCTTGCCTCTGCACATTCAAACATTTTTGTGGTTAGATCAAGAAATCCTTGAATTAGTTATTTTGGATTTAAGTTTTTATAATGTAAGTCTATTCATGTTTATAACTTAATGAACATAGTATGGATTATCTGATCGGTAAATTCAGTTTCCAAGTGGATTCTTTATCAGGTCATAGAGCCTGCATGTAGCTAGTTATGTGAAAAAAGCAATAGGACACATTTTTCCAGGCTCTATAACATGATCAAGCCACTTGGGATGTTGGAAGGATAATTGTAACGCTTATGAATAACTCACCTTTGGCTTGTGATTTATAAGCTTTCCTTGTTCTCCCAACATCCTGCATGGCTTTATTACATCAGGTTTATAAATTTGTACTGCCAGAAACTTAGAGACATAAGAGAAATAAGTTGAAAGTATTATATAGAACATGTTTGAAGTTTCAATGTGTCACTCTCTTTATAAAGATTCTAAGTATGGTGTACATTACTGAGTGATACCATAATTGATACAGGTAACCAGATATAAAGCAATCACCTTGTATGAAGCAGTGGGTTTTCAAAGTCTCAAATTAATCACCCTTAATTCACCTTTATTAAATGGTCACATCTATTAAGTGGTTGTGGTCACCTTTGAGAGAGTCCCAACAGCCTGTGTGTATTGTCTTCTGCCATATTGAATAGTCACTTAACAGTGATCTTTCAAGTAAAATTGAATATATGTTTCTCTCCCAAAATCAATAACGGTAGTATTTTTTAGCTGGTTTTTGTTGAATTAGTCATCAATTATAGCATAAAACAGCATTTTTTTTTACATATAACCCCTCTTCTGTGGTCAACCTGTATTAAGTTGTCACCTGACCATTCCTGTAGTTGAGGGCTTGATACAGGTTTGACTGTATTTTTTCTCCTTACTGTCAAATAAACCTTGCTTTCTTTTCATTGATTGGGGTGTTTAAATGTAATTTTTTTAGAGCTCCCTGTAAAAACTGACATGTAGACTAGTGATCTTTTGGAGAAGGGGACTAAATGCCAACAATCAAGACAAGTTCACTATGGACCTATGTTCTCATTATAAAATAAGATGGAAGTTCATCACCATGTACCTCATAAGTGTACTCTTTTATGACTTCACCTCAAAAAGTAGATGCACTCTGTAGAGGTTTGCATGAAGTTAATTAGTTCGTACAATAGAGGCAAAAATTAAGTAGCAGACTCATTCTTTTTCTTTTTTCCCTCAGTGGAGGACAAATTATGATCATAGTTGGCCTCAAATTCAATTTTGTTTGAAATCTGTTTTGGAGATTTATTTTGCCTTCTGTTTCAAAGCAAATGTGGTCACTGTGAGAGAATCCACATGATTTGATGATTTTTTTTTTGCCCTCATTAAATAACTTTAAGGGGTTCTTTACAAACAAAAAGACTAAAAAAAAAAAAAACCATGGCAGGTGCACAGATAAAAAAAAAGTTTTAAATTTGAACACTTCAAGATGCACTTTAAGTATCCACCTTTTAATCAATACTGAATTTGAAGTGTTGCATTCTGGCTATCTTTAATGATGGTGTTCAGTGACTAGTCTTTTAACCATGCTTTATCTTTTAGTTGTGAAGCTGTGCTGTTGTTTGTAGTTACACTGAAGGACTATAACCAATAACTTTTAGGGTTCTTATTTTTTGGGGTCCCTTAGCGGTGCTCATGGCGGATAGACGTGTTTTGCGTTCGTCCGTAATTTTGTCAAGTTTTCTGGTCTTAGCTTCGTATATTTCGAACTTAAATTATCTCAACTGATTTGGTAATGCCCAAACGCAAATATGGGTGAGTTTTTCAAGCATGGACGCCGCAGATTTGGTCGAATTCCAACTTAATCCGTTGAACTCACTGAAACGAGCTGGCTGCCATCTTGTCATCTTTCGCTGCAAGAGGTTTCAGAAGTCACGTGTGGCGTATTCTTCGAACTGCACGGCCTCCTTAAACCGGCTGATGTCTCCCTTGTCAGAGGTGGCGATATCCATCCTCAGCCAGGACCTATCCGGCAGTGTAAGGAGTCAGCTAAGTTTGATAAACCAAAAGCACTGACCGAAAATGTTAAAGTCGCTCACTTGAATGTCCAGTCCTTGAAATCAAGAGAGAATTTCTGTCTCGTCAAAGACACCATATTGCAATATGGCTTTGATATCTTCGCTGTATCTGAAACGTGGGCGGATTTATCTGTGTTCGACGCAAGCCTCGAGATCTCTGGTTACCAACTTTTCAGACAGGATTATGGACAACATAAAGCTGGAGGTGGCTTGTGCATCTACTCCAAGTCAAACCTTAAGATTACTGTGCTGGAGAATTTATCACCTGCCTGCGACGATGGCTTTCAACAACTTTGGCTAACAGAAGTACAAATCGTTTTTGATCTGCAACACGTATCGACCTTCACAAACACCAACCACGTGCTTTGAATCTCTTGCAAATAGCCTCACAGATGCATTACTCCTAGACTTAAGTGTTGTCATTCTTGATGACCTAAATTGCAATCTTTTAGCCCCTGGCCCTGAGTCTACCTCGCTGCAGACCTTTATTTCAACATTTAATCTTCACCAACTGGTTAAGAAACTCACAAGGATTATAGAAACCACAAAATCATTAATCGACGTAATTTTCACGACAAACACGGATATTGTCAGCCTTGTACCCTTTCATATCATATCCATGATTGACGATTTTGATGACCAAGTGGAGACGTTCAATGCGTTATTTACGGATATTTTAGATGATCACGCCCCTTTAAAGTGAGTAAAAATCAAGTCAAGACCAAACCCATTTGTTTCAGCTGAAATTCGCCAACTAATCAAGACCCGGGATAAATGGCATCGGAGAGCCATTAAATGAAATGACGGTCATATCGTTTCTTCAGATATGTCAGTCAAGCGTAAACTACGAATTGCAGAAAAAGCCTATGTGAGATCTCAGCTACTACAAAACAAAGGAAACACTAACGCAATTTGGAAGATAATTAACAACTGCCTGCCAAAGAAGCTGCAAAAGCCTCCAAGCCGCCCTATTATTCCTGACAACCCAGTTTCCTTGGCTAATAAGTTTAATGGATATTTTACATCTGTTGGAAGTTCAGCAGCTCAGGAAGCTTACGATCTTGCTTGTGTACATAATTATCATTTCAATCCCGCTATGCCAACCCTCTTGTCAACGCCTGATGATTGCCCTGGCTTATTTCGATTTCACCCCGTACTGGAGAAGGATGTGGAAGGTGTAATGAAGGGCTTCTCTTCCAACAATGCACTAGGTCGTGACAAGATTACTACCCGCGTCCTCAAGGACTGTTTGCCAGTCATAGTACCAATTATTACAAGCATTATGAATAACTCATTTAGATCTAATTGTTTCCCGAAAGTATGGAAAATGGCTGAAGTAACTCCTGTGTTAAAGTCTGGTAACCCCGAAGATCCCTGTAATCACCGGCCCATCTCATTGCTGCCAATTAACAAATGGTAAACACCACAGCGTACACTATTGACCAATCAGAGCGCGCGCTTTACTTTGGTTATGTTATAATACTATCTAAGGTGTCTGAGAGATTAGCTCACCGTCAGTTCGTTGACTACATAACCACCAACAAGAAGCTATCTAGAAATCAGAGTGGTTATCGAAAATCATGATGTCACTCGACGGAAACTGCTGTCTTACGCGTAACAGTTGATTTTCTCATGGCCATTGATAAGAGTGAAGTGTCCGTTGTCGTGCTACTAGACATGTCTAAGGCATTCGATAGTATCAGACATGATATTCTCCTTCAGAAGTTACAGAGTATAGGTGTTGCCTCTTCGAGCTTGGAGTGGTTTCGTAATTGCCTGTCTGGTCGTAGCCAGGGACTGTGCATTGGGGATGTTATCTCAGACCCGCTTCCTCTTAAATACGGAGTTCCTCAGGGTTCTATCTTGGGGCCCGTGTTATTTACCATCTATGTAAATGATCTCTTGTCCGTTCCAGCGCACTGCAAGTCTGTGTGCTACGTCGATGACTGTAAATTATACCTGCCCTTTCGCTCAACTGACATCGCTCGCGTATTTGGCTATCTGAAGGAAGATTTGAGTGTAATCTGCCGATGGTGCTGTCAGAATTCCCTTCTAATAAACCCAGCTACAACTAAAATCTTACTAGTTAGTGTTCCTCAACTACTGCAGAAATTGCCTCCAACGTCGATTTCACTCCTGGGAAAGGAAATAACACCAGTCCCTGTGGCAAAGGACATTGGAGTCTACATCGACCAGTCCTTAACATAATTATAAGGATCATATTGCTAAAACTACTTCTAACTGTATTTTCAACCTAGCACTGATCAGCAGGATTAAACACCTTCTAGACAGGAAAACTCTCTTACTTTTGATGAACGCTTTTGTTTTTAGTACAATGTATTATTGTTCAACTGTATGGGCCAACACGTGTCAAAGAAATATAAAGAAGCTTCAGCTGGTGCAAAACTTCGCTGCCCGTATTGTATTAGGTCTTAAGATATTTGACCATATCTCCCAAGGCATAAAATCTCCCAACTGGCTCACTGTTAAGGAGAGACTTTATTTCAACGATGTATGTATGTATGTATGTATGTATGTATGTATGTATGTATGTGTGTATGTGTGTATGTGTGTGTATGTGTGTGTGTGTGTGTGTGTGTGTGTGTGTGTGTGTGTGTATGTATGTAGGTGTTGCATATAGCCAACACGTGAGATACTGAACATTGCTATGGTATTTTCTCCAATGGTTTTTGCATGATTTTCTTCACAATGTAAAGCAACGAAAGTTATGGCATATAAGTCTCAGTCACTGAGCCTTGTGGGATTGCTTTAATGTTAAGTGAATGTTGTATTTTAGTTGATGATGGTTACTCGCTATTGAGTCTACCCGAGCTTATTCATTTGCGATCTATTTTGATTTTTAAGGGAGAAGCTTGAAAAGTAAATCAACATTCAATCAACATTTACTGGCACAAAGAAAAGTTAAATATGACACACGTATCTGAGCATTAAAACTTCGTGGAAGTGATGAAGTCAAGCTCAAAATTGAGAGAAGTATAATAATCATGCCACACCCAGAAGAAAGAACTTATCAATGTGACCAGTGCCATGACTCGTTTTGCGAGGAAGCTCTCTTGGCAGAACATAACAAAACTCATGAAGGCGAAAAAAGCTTTGAGTGTGGCGAGCGTTCCAAGAATTTCGTGCAGAAGGAAAGACAGAACGAACGTCGAAATGTGCACACCAGCGAGAAGACTTTTGAATGTATCCAGTGTCGCAAGTGGTTTAAACATGCTTCATCTCTAAAATTACATCAAAGATTGCACAGTGGGGAGAAACTTTATCAATGTAACCTTTGTAACAAGGCTTTCACTCAATCAGGAGGCCTGAAGCAACATAAGCGATCACACACGGGAGAGAGGCCGTTTAAATGTGATCAGTGTGAGAAGACTTTCACCCAGAAAGGCCATTTAAAGGATCACAAACAGAAACACTTGAGCGGAAAGCTTTACAAGTGTCAAGGGTGTAGAAAGAGTTTTGTGCGGGAAGAAGACCTGAACGAGCACAAAGGATTGCAATCCTGTGGAGATGCATGTGAATGCAGTTATTGTGGGAAGTGGTTCAAAAACAGCGCCTCCTTAAAGGTACATCAAAGAATGCACACTGGAGAGAGACTTTTTAAGTGCAGCCTTTGTGACAAATCGTTCACTCAGTCAGGAGGTCTGCAGCAACATACAAGAACACATACAGGAGAGAGGCCGTTTAAATGTGACCAGTGTGAGAAGAGATTTACCCAGAAAGGCCATCTGAAGGATCACAAACGGAGACATGCGGGAGAAAAGTTTCTTGAGTGTCAACAGTGCAGAAAGCGTTTTTTGCGGGCAGAAGACCTGAGTGAGCACAAAAGATTGCAATCCTGTGGAAACCCCAGTGAATGCAGCCATTGTGGGAAAAGGTTTAAGAATAGCGCTTCTCTAAAGGTACACCAAAGATTGCACATGGAAGAGAAGCTTTTTCAATGCAGCCTCTGTGGAAAGGTGTTTACTCAGTCTGGGGGCCTGGAGCAACATAAACGAACACACACAGGTGAGAAGCCTTTTAAGTGTGAGCATTGTGGCAAAATGTTTTCCCAGAAAGGCCATCTAAACGAACACAAACACACACATACAAGAGAAAAAAGTTTTGAGTGTAACCAGTGCGGAAAGGTTTTCAGTGGATCCGGAAAACTAAAGGAACATTCACGCGTACATACTGACAGTAAGAAGTTTCAATGTAATCAATGTAGCAAGTGGTTCAAACATGCAATAACCCTAAAGTTGCATCAGAGAATACACACGGGAGAAAAACTTTATGAATGCAACCTTTGTAAGAAGGCTTTTACTCAATCAGGAGGTCTTGAGCAACACAAAAGAACGCACACCGGCGAGAGGCCTTTTAAGTGCGACCATTGTGAGAAAACTTTCACTCAGACAGGGCATTTGAATGAACATAAAAGATTACACACAGGCGAGAAACCTTTCAAGTGTGGCCAGTGTGGGGAACAGTTCCATCGGGAAGGCAATCTAAAGCAGCATCAAAAGTTGCATGCTGAGAAAACCTCTCTTGAATCGAAAACTTGCTCTAACTGCTCACGTAGTAACTTACCACTGAAGGAGTTCAGAGGAATTATTACCACAGGCGAGGAACTGTCGCTATGCAACCAGTGTGAAAGGTTGTTCGGTGAGGCAGGTCGCCTGGAGGATTACGAACAATTGTGCACAGTTGATGATCCATTGGAGTGCAAGAAGTGTGGAAAGTCTTTTGATCGTCCAAGTCGACTTAAAGAACACGAGAGAGTACACATAAGCGTTAGACTACATGAATGTAAGCAGTGCGGCAAGTGGCTAAAACACGAAACAACTCTGCGAATACACCAAAAACTGCACACGGGAGAAAATTTACACCAGTGTGACCAATGTGGCAAGTCGTTCAATCAAGCAGGAGGTCTTCAACAGCATAAACGAACACACACTGGAGAAAGGCCTTTTCAATGCAAACATTGCTCAAAGACTTTTACTCAGGCAGGACATGTAAGAGAACACGAAAGACTACACACTGGAGAGAAACCATATAAGTGTGAGGAGTGCGAAGAATGCTTCAGTCGCGCAAGTAGTCTGAAGTTACATAAAAGAACGCATTCAAAAGATATGCCTTTTCAGTGTAGTATTTGCGACAAGTGTTTTAATAATAGATTATCCTTTGCAAGACACGTAGATATACACAAGGAGGCAACGCATGTAGAAAGCAATCGGTATAAGACCTCAAATGTTCAGTTTGAACGCGGTCAGCAACGTGGAAGGAAGCAAGCATGTGATCAGGTTTTGGAATGTAACCAGTGCGGAAAGACGTTCAAGAAACTTGAATATCTAAAAGAACACCAGTGGTCACATATCCAAGAAAAGCTTTTCAAATGCAGCCAGTGTGACAAGAGTTTTAGGCGAGCAAGTAACTTGAGGGAACACAAGAGAGTGCACACCAAAGAAGAACGTATCCAGTGTGATCAATGTGATAAGAGTTTTAAACACGCGGCAACTCTCAAAGTACATAAGCGAGTTCATGCAGAAGGGAAGTTATTTCAGTGCAACCTTTGCGAAAAGTCGTTCACTCAAGCAGGAGGTCTGGAGCAACACAAGCGAATACACACTGGTGAAAGGCCTTTTGAGTGTGACCAGTGCGACAAATCTTTTATGCAGGGAGGACATCTTAAGGAACATAAAAGCATACACAGTGGGGAAAAACCACACGCATGTGATCAGTGCGGACAATGCTTTAGATTGAAGAGCATTCTGAAGCTCCATAAGAAAGCACATTCAGAAGAGAGGCCCTTTCAATGTACCCAGTGTGACTTGTGCTTCGTACGGAAAAGAGCTTTAAGTCTACATGAAAGAATACATAAACAAACAACACATCCCGAAAGCAGTCCGGGCAAGATTTCTCCAGGTAGAGAATTAAATATAGACCATAAAGCCCATGGTCCATATCAGTGCAAATTTTGCCCAAAGACATTTATTCAAGAAAGTCGCGTAAAGAAACACGAAAGAACACACTCTACTGAGAGGCCGTTTAAGTGCTCGCGCTGTGGCAAGTGTTTCAGGTGGAAAGGGAATTTGAAAGCCCACGAAAGAGGACATACTGTCGATAAGCCTATCCCTTGTGACTGCTGTAGCAAGAGTTTCAAAAACAACTCAACTTTAAGAGTTCATAAACGCATGCATACAAGAGAGAACCTACATCAGTGCAACCTTTGTGGGAAGGTGTATACACAGGCTGGAGGTCTGGAGCAACACAAAAGAACTCACACCGGGGAGAGGCCCTTTAAATGCCCACATTGTGGCAAGTCCTTCTATCAGAAAGGTCATTTAAATGAGCATTTAGCAAGACACACTGAGAAAATGCTATTTGAATGTGATCGTTGTGGTGAAGGATTTTCTCGTAAGATATCGTTAACTAAACATCAGGAAACACACACAGTAGAAGCTCCCTCTGAGACTGATGAACACAAAGCGGTTTGTTTTAGCCTCCATGAACTGTTAAGCAATTTTACCGAAGAAACAGCACAACAGTTTTCGATCATGGAGGAGGAGGAGGAGGTTTAAATCACACGTACTGGAGTTCCCTCTCAAGCTACATGACATTTTGTGTTAGGAGAACATCTTATACCCATATCTTGTTGAATTCAGTTAAACACTGCTCTAGTCCATGATTCCAAACTGTAAAGACAAGAACGGAAAATGCATGTAACTGAAAAAGGGTAGGCAAACTTAAATGGACCAAGTTGAGGTTTTCTGCTTATCTTCGTTAACTATAACTTCTAGACGTTAATTTCTCATTTTTTTTTTTAGCAAAATTACAGGAAAGACAAGAATAGTTGTTAAGCAGTTCAACTGACGCTTCAATACCCAGTTTGGTCAACGATCTACATGTTTTAACATTCCTCTTTTTAATAGTGAACAACTGTATCCCAAAAAGGAGGGAAATTCGTTCCTTTTATGTCTTCTTGTTATATTGCTATTTTGTCCTCATTTGTGTTTGACTACGGACTCTCTAGCGTAATTTAATGACCGTTCAAACCCTAACCTAAACAGATTTTTGATGTGCAATCAGTTATGAAAGTTCTAACCCTAACTTTAACAGATTCTGTAGTGTAATTTCACGACAGATCGTGGTGAATGATATAACTCCTAATAGCCCTCGTAGAATTCACGTTTCTAGCTTTCTCCTATTTCTTTGTAAAATCTCTTTCTTACTTATTTTTGCTGGTTGCACTGTTGAGATTGTTAGTGTAGCGAATTTTCTGGGATTTTATGAATGCATAGATTAAAATCGTTTTAAGTACTAACCGGCGAGTTATTTATACGCATCTTTCATTCCCCATCTAAGCAATCGAGTTCGCTTTCATCACGCCGTAAATTCGTGAGCAATATATTATTTTATTGGACTATTTCCCAAATTCCCTTTAAATAATATGTGGTTCAATCCCTTTTTAGCTTCCGGCGATGAGCAGTCAGTGGAAAACATTCACACTCTCTAAACGGTCTCAAGTCGAACACGTAAAACGTTCTTAAGTTAAAGAGTTTTTTACTCAAAGGTGGAGGGAAAGCGACAACTCTCACGCTCATCGTGTTTCCAAGGAAACAATTATTCAGAATACAAATGGACCAATTGACTTTATACGTTTATTCAGTTTCATGATTGGTCGAGGCAACAAGTTCTTGGACCGCTAATTAAGCCTTCAATATTAGGGACACTAACAATCTTGAGAACAGATTGACTGAACATAAACCGGCGATGACAAGTGGTGGTGTCAGCGATTGTACTTGTGAACATTGGCTCTGCTCGATGTGTAACCAACAACCTACTGACTTTAAACGGCTGACTTTGGAGAGCTGGTTTACTTAGCAGAGACTTATACACTACATGAATACCACCACCTTACCGAAAAGAGCCACTTAGCTTCATTTTTTCCGAGTGAAAACTAAACCGACACACACTGTTCGAGTCTCACAAGCAATAGCATAACAGCAGGACTTACTAAACAGGTTTTCACGAACAGAGTTTTCGCATTCCACCGAAAATTGAAAAACTCCTCGCTTGTGTCAGTAGACCAACAGCGCTTAGCTACTGGCGCCATTTTTCGATGAAGGCAGCTTTTGAGCTTGATTAGGAAAGTTTTCTGTTTTATTAAATATGCACTAAATTGTGGGATCGCAAGCAGCTCTCGCGCCATAAATAATTTACTTTAATTGCATTTTGGAAGTTTTCCAAACTTCTCAGTATGGCCCCATGACTCGGTTGATTATGGAGGAGAACTTGCATACACAAATTACATAAATCGCGAGGCTTCTAGATTTATAACGAACGCTAATTAGTGTTTTGTGAGTACGTGCGTTCCGTGGAGTTTTAGTTTTATTTTTATCATTAACTATTTAAGAGCGGTTGTAGAGATTATAGTAGGGAGGCCTAAAAGTTCTGACAATGGTTAACCTTTCGTCATTTTGTAAACAAAAGCAGGCTGCTTCAACTTTTTAAAATCTTGATCAGTATTATAGATTATAACCCACTCATTAACCTTTAGCGCGATTTTATTGGTTACTTTACGTCACGTGGCGCAAAATCACAGGACAGTTATCACGCAATAACCCCCGTCCGCGTCGATATTTGTCCTCCGATTTTTTCAGTGAAAAAGAAACATAGTCAACGCAAGAAATTCAACTTTTCCGTTCTCCTATTTACATGGAAGGAAACCAAACTGGTTATTTGTTTTTTTTTGCTTGCTTGCGTCAATCACGCGCAATGGCCATCAGATCAACACTGGCTTTTTTACTGTGTTTACGCGCAGTTTAATTGAGATGTGAAAATTAAGGGGAGGGTTATAAAATAGATAAACCCCGTTCTGGCTTGCTGGTATGTCGGCTGATAATGTCCTTGGCTGAGATTGTCCTCCAAATTTTCTATTTGCCCCGGAAGCTTCGCTTCTTGGCCAAATATTCATTTTTCGGACAATCTCTCAGCCGCGGACATTATTAGCCGACATACCAGTCGCCCGAAGGGGTTTATTTACTAAATAGCAGCTTGTAATGAACGGTTACGCCTATAACAGTAATGGATAAGATTGCGCAATGCTTCTTTCTCGTAATAAAGTTCTTTCACTTTTTCAGTCCTTTTTCCACGCCCGGGAATCATTTAAAGCTATAAACTGCAATTGTGTGCGCGCTTTCTGAACAGTTTCAAATTTATTTTTGACAGACCAGTATGGATAGTTATACTCCTTCGAAGCAGAACAACAATTACTACAAAGACAACACTTTTCCCAACGGTCCAATCGTAATGATCCTTTTCATATCAAAATGTGTCTCCTATCCAACCACGAACAATAGAGGTGCTCACCTATATGCTTTTAGCGAATCAATTATTACTTGACTAGCTTCCCCAGTCGTTGAGTAATCCTGAGATCAGTTTGACACTGAAAAATCCTGAGAAAGCATTAAAAAAATAATGATAATCATTGTAAGTGCCTTATTTTGCGTTTTCATGCTTGTTGATAGTTGATGTGATGTATTTTGTTTTTCGTTTGGCCTAGAACGAAAGAAAGAACCCATTCACTACTGTTTTGATAGATCTCCAAAGGTGACGACTCGCAATCAAACGTTTCCAGAACATCTGTCTGATGATTAGGCAATTTCTTATTACTTCTAAAGCCGAAACCATCAATATTAATGAGGGATTTGAGCTATAAGGTTTTGTATGTGTTAAATACAGATAGAATGTTTTCTCGCTGAACACGCTCAACTGCGAGCCAGTTTTGCCCTGCAGAGATGGCTATACCACTTTCGAAAAAACTCGGTTCTCTCTTTTGTGCAACGACTGTTGTCTTCATATCTTTACCTTGCTGGATTGAATCTGTAGACAGTGGTAAGCCTTTTAGAGAAGTAGTAATATGTAATTCCTAATAGTTAATTTCATCGATTGGAATTCACGGTCTGAGTGTTCCTACGATAAAAATTTAAGAAACTGTCGACGAAAGAGGAAAATATTAAGGATACATAAGCTCCATGGGACGGTGCTTATGCCTGTATGTACATCGGTATCAAGGAGTACCACAGTTTTTAAGGATTTGTCTTTGATTCCTTCTCATCGTGTCACATTTTGGACAGGATCTCTTGTTTTCGTGATTTTTTCCATAAACGAGGAAGTTTGACAAAGCCGCATTTTTCGACTTGCTAAGACTTAGGATTCAAATTTTCTTAAAGTAGAAGAACATAGGGACTCGGACCTACGTCAGCCCTCTGAATGTTCTATAGTTAAAAACATGACAAGCCGAAACTTTAATTGGAGAAGCAAGTTTTTCAATAGAATGACTAAAACGGACTGTACTACTGGGATTTTCACCTGATGATTGAAATGTTTCAAAATTTTTTTTTTCAAGACGAAGAAGAAGAAGAAGAATATTTTTCAATTAAAACAAGAGAAAATGAAATAAGTTTTTATGTAGTGCAATAATCTAGCTGCGGTCAATCAAAGCGAATCGCAACAGATTCAAAGTTCTCGAGGAGTCTTCTGCAGTTGACTTTGTATGGTCGAGCCCATCTGTTAAACATTGTTTTTCTGTTCTGTCTTCTCTGCACCTCTTGGCCTGTTCAAGCTGCACTTCAAGGTGACATCAGATTGGCCAAAATCGTTGGGTGGCCACCGTCTCGTGGGAAGCTGCACTTTAAGATCTTCTATCGTTCTTAATTATTTATGACATACAGCTCTTCTAGTTCAGTTTATTAATATTTGTTTTTTTTTTTTTATCTAGATGATTGTAGAATGATTGAGTTCAGAGAGAGGAAAGCAAATAAGGCTCTTATCAAACAAGTCATTAGAAGTGAACTAGTACTCCGTGAAGATGATTGTCAAATAAAATGCTACCTTGAGCCAAAATGCGTGTCCCTCAACTACGGTCCATCGGGAGATGGAGCTTTCGAATGCGAGCTGAACAGCAAAACCCACTTACAGGTCTCTCCCAGTGACCTAAAGGACAGAAAAGACTTCATCTACAGAGCAATTATTGTAGGTGAATACCTAGATAACACATTCACGGCAGATGATGATAAAAATTTAATTCGATACTGATCGACAAAAACTTCCTCTTCAGAACCCCTGTGAGAGCAACCCGTGCCCAAGCCATTCCGTATGTCAAACGGGGTTTGGTATCCATGGATACCGTTGTGTTTGTCCTGATATATATCAAGGTTTTCAAAATCAAGCAGGTGAGAAAACAATGAGATGATGAGTTAGATAAACATAGAGGAACAAAATTTTAGTGGTCAGTTTAGAGTACTACATATACATCACGGTTCAAGGTCATTTTTTTTAGAATATGCACAGGTTTAATAATTTACCATAGCTTACGTACCCGGGGAGAAACAGAAGGGAGGGAACGTCTACAAAGACCTGACGCAAACCGTGTTCTGTGACGTCACTCTTATCTATGTAAAACTATAATAATGGTTTTTGGGAAGAGAGAGGTGCCAGCATGAAAAGTAATTGAGGTAAACAACAACACTGAAGCGCCTTACGAAAGACTTATCTATGCTTATTGTTGTTCTTCTTAAAAAAATTCTCTAACCAGAAGGTCACGAAAACTTTCTTAAATCTTGTGGTCGATCGCTGTTGTCTGTAAAGTTAACCATGAAGACATTATGTTTACTACCCTATTTGTAAGTATGAAAGAAAACCACCAAGTCTAGCTAATCAGAATTCACGAGAGTATCGGACGAAAAAAGTTAACCTATAATAAGCCGTTACATATATTCTTGCAAAAGAGTGACATCACAGAACATGATTTGTGTCAGGTTCTCGTAGACGTGCCCTCCCTTCCATTTCTGCTCGGGGAGGTGGGGGAGGGGCGTAAGAAAGTTTCGGCTACACGTAGGTTACATTCAACATAGAGTTAAATCATATATAGAAAACTCTCTTACAGACAACTGGCAAATGATCAACATCGATCCTGTCTGTTTTGGGACTAAAGGTGACGACTACGGACCTTTTTACATCCAAGAAGCCGGTCTGATCTACACATTTAAACTTGTCCACACAAGTGGCTCAGTGACATGTTCCACTTCAGAAAAAACAACAACGTGGGGATGCTCATTGTCAACTTACGGAAATCATAACCTAATGACAGTGATAACTTACAGCAACAAAACAGTTCTTCCGCTTGCTGAGTTCGTGAAAGGCGGCGAAGGCAAATACTATACATACCAACTTGACGGTGCTGATGTCAACTCTACAACATTGGTGTTTAACCGCCTCCCGACCCCACTTGATGTATTAGCTGGACAACAGTTCCAGTTATGGTATGCACACGACTTGGTTAATTTTTCTGAGGATAATAACGATGGTAAGACATGCGCAGACGTTTTTGCTCTGTACCATTCACAATGTTGAACGGCAGTGACAGTTGCAGATGACCTCAGCCGTACGTCTGCACTGAATCACACCCGGCAATCAACCAGAAAGCGAATAGAATTTGGTTCATAAAGATTATTCCAAAAGAGCACGGCGGATGTGGTATGGCTTCAATCATCAGCCGTATGTCTGCACTTTACTGAATCACAGCCAGAGACCAACCAAGAGAGTGAATGGAAATTGGTTCATAAATATTATTCCACGAGGGCACGGTGGATGTGGTATGGCTGCAATCGCCAGGTCCTTAAGGAATGGTCTGTTCAGTAGATGCGATCAGTGAGCTGATTGTATATCAAGTCCTTATATTGACCAATTCAGCAATCTCCGAAAACGATATGCAACATAATAAATAATTTCATGAAATAATGCAACCATCAACAATGTAATTACTAAAAAAAAAAGGGAAAAAAGCAGTTTTTAGAATCGAGATTTACCCTAGTATTATTTAGCCTGGTGCTGAAGTCCTTCCTTTATGCTGTTCACCTTTTCACATTCAACACGCGCATATAACGTTGTTGTTAAATATTTCACAATTGTTACTTTCCCTGCGGCTAATGCTTATGAATTTGCATTTTAATCATGAAAATGAATAGAAGTTGAGGTAAAGCAACTCAGGAGCTTCAAGACTTAAATAACTGACAAACTATTCTATCAGATCTCCTTTAAGGTAGCTCAAATTTAAAACTGTCAAGTTTTATTTTATGGTGTATCTTTTTTTTTCTCTTCAGAATGGGTTTTGGGCTAGAAATCTTACTTTGAATTGCATGTATTTAATTCTGTCCTCAAGTTAAGAAACAATTGAACTTAAGGAAATCTGAATGGAAAAAAAATCAAGGGAGAAAATTATATTGAACATAAAAATTTACCAGTAAAAGCTGATTGGAGTTCCGTGTTGGTTTAAACAAAAACATTGTCATAAAGTAGTTGTAATATGCTATACTGGGGTAGCAATGCGTGCAGGATATGAGGGTAGATTTGGCGGTACATTTGTGACACAAACGATTATCAAACCATTTAACTGTCCTGGTGTGTACAATTTTTTTTTAATTAAAATAGATGCGTACGCCTCCTCGCCCGTCTTCAACATGGAGCTTTTTAAAATAGTCTAACCATTCTGTTATAATAATCCTTCAGTGAATTAATTTGCAGTTGAACGCACGCGATAGATTTTCAACTACATTTAAGGCAAAACTCTGAAGAGTTCAACTAAAAACCTACTTGTGCCAGGTAATTAATTTTCGGCAAAGTGTGAATTAGTTGTTTACAAAGGCCAACATCACGCATTTAAGTTATTTATTTGTCCTACAGTTTTCCACAATTCTTACGGCTCAGTCCATCGTCAGCTAGTTAAATGAAGCCATGGAGAGATTCAAATGAATCATTCGTAAATGTCAAAAAAGGAATAATTCATATTTACGTAGCGTGCTGTTCGCACATCTGCCACTTCTTTCAATCAATATTTTCCTCTCGGATGACACTGCAATTCCCTCTATTGTTTAAATGTTGACATAATACATCTAGTTGCCATTGAAAATTCGGATTTGTAAGAGAGACCGGCGTTCTATTCGGATCGCTTGCTGCAAGGTCATCTCGCTAACGGCGATATGTTACGCTTCTCACGAAAAGTTTGTGATCTCTCAGAGAGTAAGATTCTAACTTTCACATGGATTTTTCAGTTTGGTTTAATGGTGCATGGAGGTAAGTGGCTCTTGCCAATACTTAGCATGGCTAAGGTTTTAGTTGTTATCTCTGTTTTATTCCTTGGATTCGCTTCCTCGTGTTGATGGCACAAAAGAAAAAAGAAAGTCGGTGAGGAAAAAGAGGAAACGCATAGAGTTAACTTTGATTTAGATCTATTCTGAATTTTGAACATGAAAATTGATTTCTCAGAGAAAATATGGCAGACAGGATCTTACGCGATAACACGTTAGGGCGAATGTTAACTTTTGTCCGGCTCACAATGACGCGATTTTTGCTCGTCTTGATAGAAAATTGAGAGAAGAGTTGTTGTACACACAGCCAGTAAAATCGTTGCTAATTAAAGGCGAATTTTACGCAATTATTTAAATTTGTTGTTCTTTCCTGATAACCCCTAAGGCACATATGCTATCCATGCGCTCGTAGAATTCAGAGTTAAATACCCTAGGTACTCTTGATCGGGGTTTTTTTACCGTCTGTACAAATCAGACAAAACTATGCCATTTTCCACATCTATTTCCACACCTGGTCTCTTATGTGCCAGTTTCTTATCTGAAAGTTGGACCTGGTTTGTGAATGTATCACGCTGTGAAAGGGATTTTACATTATCTTTGAATGCTAATGTAATCTCTAGAATATTCTCTTGAATGGTAATGCTAATCTGTAGAGTAGAGTAAGCTGCATATTTGACCATAGTGCATATG